TTTTGTAAATTCGAATTATTTTTTATATATTGGTTGCATTCCTTAAAAAAATTAACTTTTATCAAGTTGGAAATTATCTATGACTTCCTCACCTTGGCTTTTACAACTACACATGATGTATGGAGTCAATACCAATTTGCTTTTACATTACAAGGATGAAAAATCAGAGGAAAAAATAATTGATTAAAAAGAAAAAGATTTGCTATTCCAGAAAAAAGAAAGGATTTGCTATTTGTACCTGCTTGTCTCTCTATGGGTTGTGTAATTCCCGAATACTATTGCCATTTTTGACTGGATACTTTTGAGGGAGGGTTTTATGTGGGTGACACATGGCTACAAGATATGATGCCACATGGCTGCTAGAGGGGGTGACAGATGATTGCTAGAGTGGCTGAGACATGGCTACTAGAACAAAATTATTTTTATTTTATTCATCTAGTTATCTAGTTTTATTTAATGATATCAGTAATTATTGGGATAAAATATGAAGGTAGTTTCCTGGATATTGGGTAACTAGATGGTTTCTAGGATGTGGTATACTTACTTCCAACTAAGGAGATTATTATTTTTAGAAGTTTTATTTTCTTGTACAAAAAGAGAATCGTGATATGAATAAAACTTGCAGAAAATTTGTCAAAAAAATTTCTCAAGTACTATTTACAAATTCCCTTAACTTGATCCTAAGAAAGGACCACAATAGGTTTTACCTAATTTATTGATTCAACCTCACTCTTAAGGTGTTTATAGTAGATGTGATATTCTTTCTTAAGAATTTCTTTTTTGTTTCATAAAATCTTTGATTAGCAATTTATTGTTTTGTTAGCTGCTTTTGCTGATTGAGAAGTGCTATTTCTTGTTTAGTTTTCTTTTCTGTTTCTGTTTTCTTTTTATGGTTGTATTTACTTCTCACACTGCATTGCAGAAAATGAGTTTTCATCATTGGTGGGTCTGCAGTTCATGTGGCAGCTGATGCCTGAAACTGATGAATTGTCTCATCACCTTGCGCATGTTCCCTTGAAGGATTCCCCCCTCAGTGACTGTGGTGGGCTCTGTGGTTACTTAGATATCCGAATAAAGCTTGAAGATAGTGTACGTGCTAGTAGTGAATTGAGCTATAGTGTGAATTAGTACTTAGTATATACTTCCTTCATGTTTCTTACTATGTATGCTAATACATATTGCAGGGTTTATTTTCAGATTTATATGTTGTAAAAGGAATTGGAATTGGCCATGAGAAAGTCTTAGTTCGTTTGCTGGAGCCACTACTTACACATATGTCTGATAAAATTGCTCTAACTGTAGTGGAAGCCATGTCACTTGCTCCTCTTTCACCTCTTTTTGTCCTCATTGGCGCTGGTCTCCGTTATACTCTTAAAGTTATTCGTGGGAATACTCCTCAAGGTTTCATCTATCTTTTTCTTGTGTTTTTTTTCTTCAAGTTTTTGACAAGAATAGTAATTTTATATATATCTTAAGATTCACGCTTGATTGGGCTCTCTGTGAAAAATACTAGCCATGTAGCATGTATCCTGTTCTCTCCAAAAAAAGTACCATGTAATCTGAATGTAGTGGTATTTGTATTGTTACCTTCAGTTTCTGTTTGTTATAAAACTAGAGCAACAATTAGGATTGGCCCATTTCTTACTGCTTAGTGAAAGCTAAATAATAAGGCTCTCGATCCTGGCCTTTCTTTTCAAAACGTTAACAGCAAGGCTTCCAAAGAAATCATGGTGCTGAATGTTGAGTCTTTAATCTTACATATAAGTCCTACTGATGTAGGATAGATTAGGGATAATCTTTTTTTTTTTTGAAATAAAAAGTACTACTAAGTATATATACAAAAGATACAAAAGGAATCG